GGTTTTTATATCACTTATTCTACATAATTTAGTAATCAACGATTCCAAGAGTATCATATAACTTATCAAGTAGTATTTAAAGAGAAAATCAACCCCAAACTTTTTTTAAGTTGCGTTGTTTCAAGAAGACATGGTTTCCATTTTTTGTGCGCTAATGAATTTGTAATGAGTTATAGATAAACCTTGTTAAACTGGGATTCTGCGCTGCGGTAGATTATCTAAGCATGTAGTTGTCCATGCCAGGAACAAGTATTATACTGCTAATATATACAACTATAGTACTATACTGCAATATACGTCCAGATATACTAAACAAACGTGTTTTTCTATGGATGTCGAGTGAAATCAAGATTACTAAAAGGTATATAAGAGTGATAAGACTGGTAAAATTTTATTAGTTTATTCGTTATAAATATGATTCTAAAATAAACTACAACGCCTTGGTGACCTGAATGGTATTAACTATTAAGGAACATTTTCATAACATTTGGGGGGTTATAAAAGATCAATTTATATATAGCCGTCACTGTTTCCGATGTGTCCTCGACATATTATAGATGCAGGGTTTCACCAAGCACTATTCGCAAAGAAAATGGTGGTTAACCGATATACAGGGTGTATCAAAATAAACGCAATTCATCTTTTGTGCTTAATAACTTTCGAAATACTATTTCTAGTTAAACGCTTTTAGGCTTACTTCAAAGCCTGTTCTTTTCTCTTTCTAACAAACTATTATCCTTGTCTCCAATGCTAGTAATAATTGCACAGGAAAAGATTTAGTAAAACCTATCATTTTTAGTTGCTGTTTAATTATGCAAGTTTAGTATGTTATTGTTTAGTCGGTTTAAATGTTAGATTTTTCTTCTTTAAACTTTAATGTTGTCGTCACTACATCCGGAAAACCACGTAAGAACAAATTAAAAGTATTTTTAAAGAGACCAGGTTGTTTGAAAATCCTAAACGAATGCTAAAAATCGTCAAAACATTCTGGTGTCTGAGCCAGAGTGTCATCGAATTGCGATGTAATGTAAACAGAAATTATAGCAAGTTGATGTCAGTCAGCTTAGATGGTCCAAGCCAAAATTATATCGCATTTGAAGTTTCAAACTGAGTTAAAAATAGTGAAAGAAAAGCCGTAATTATACTTATTGTTACAATCCATTTAATAAAATGCAACATTTGTTTGTTTTAATGAAAAAATCAGCTATTTTCATGAGAACGATTTGTTATTCCATCTCAATTTTTTTAATCTCCAATCGCAATAACGTAAAGTATTATTACCCGCGAACCAATGAGTCAAATTTAAGAAACAACCCACTGTTAGAAAGCTGAATGGCTATGCTTTAAAATGAATGTAAACTTTAACGTTTTCGTCTATTATTTGTTTAGCAATTTACATTTCAGTCGAGGATTGCGCTTTTTTTGATACACCCTGTAGTTATCGGATTGAGACTGAATATTAACTAGATGTTGAAACTGATCATGCATCCCCTGGGCAATGATTAAGCTACGTTGATACTACAGGCGTTATGATTTATTTGGTTTGTTTATTTATTTATAAGACTTAGTACTCAATACTAAAATTATAGCAGAGCAAATTGTCTACATCAGGCCTACTCTAGGACCTTAACTCGCCCTATAACTCGCCTTAACACGCCCTATCTCGCAATAGAAATTGATCGAATTTTGCTTAACTCGCCCAATCTCGCCTTATCTCGATCGCAATGAGAAGTTGACAGAATTTTGCTTAACTCGCCTAAACTCGCTCTATTTTGCAATAAAAACCGGCACAGTTTCACATCAGTAAAACACAAATACTGTCAATCAAAATTCTTTAGACTCACAATACTCGCTATATTCTATGTGTTAGGCATTGCAACTGACATCAACATACAAGTATATGTAAGCCTGATTATCTGAAATGTTAACATATTTTTAATTTACTACATTCTATGTAATACCATAAAGCAGTATTGATCAAATACCACCAACTACTGTACTTTAATAAGCAGGGCTTAGCAGGCATATACAGTAATACCCAGTATTTAATAAATCACTGTGAAAATAATTGAACATAATAATAGAACCCAACTGCCAAGTATGGTTGAAAATTAATATTCCCATATATACAGATCACTTATCTATTCCAACTATACAATGATATCAAAAGATCAAAAGAACTTGCTTAGCTTTTATACAGCTATCACATGACTATCAAACTTTACTAAAATACTGTTATACTTATAGTAAGGTCTCAATGATATCAACAGCTCAAACTGCAAAGTTATTCATTGAACTGTTTTTATATACAACCGGCAACAGAAGTACTGAACCAACGATACGCGTAGAATTTTTGGAGAAATATTTTAATACACAATCACATTCACAAAATATGAACTGATCGTATATTGAAAATATAGATTTACAGTAAAAGCAAAGTTAAGGGGAATATTGTGGTAAACATACCGTGCTTGTTTGACCAACAAAAAATTTAGTAGAAACAATCTGTAGTGGCAAGGCTTTTTGAATCGCGTTTTAATATCGTAATACATGAATAACATGATAAACAACTTTAAAATGTTGATACTTATCCCGCCATATTGCGTTTGCGGAATCGAATTTATTATTTTATTCTGACTTATAGCCTGCGTAGACTCCCCCCGACCACAGAGGAAGTACCGCGATGGTGGAAGGAAGATTCCGTTTACCAGGGGGGGGTGGGGGCGGGAGGGATGCTGTCTGCGAACAGATATTGAAAATGTTGCTCCCTTCAGCGGAAAAATTATAATCTGCTTACAATACTTAGTTTTAGTGTCAATGAGAGGCAGTGAATTCTGAATATAAAAGCTTGACAAGAAATTGGAATATAAATAATGCAGTTTTATACAGAGGAATCATTGTCATTTACATTCATTTACGTTTCCAAAGCAAGTAATTTGGGCATTAATTCTAGTATTATGACCGTTGGTTATCATTTATATCATTGTGGTTCGATTCGAAATTTCGTTAAAAATAGTTATTGAAGTAGGCCTACTAAATTTAATAGTAAATAATCTATAATTTCCTAGCAAGCTTTTTAGTTTCTCTTTGTTTCATATCAATGTTTATATTGAATTAAATTAAAAATTGAATACAAGGACTGCTGCTTGCAAACAAATCAAGCAAACAAATTCGAACTTAACTTTAATAATTAATTGATAATGTCATGATTCATGAAAACAGCTAAAAATTACAAAATCTGTAGTGAAGCTAGCCACAGCAAGTTAGCAACTGATACTGTAAAGATTTAGGAAACAATGCAGTTCTATACACACTATGCATAATGCCTGAAATTATACCATTTGGCATCTGGCTACCCGCCTCGTTTTGATGCAACTCGTTTCCAGGTTCCGAGTTATTGTGCATATCATATATATTGTAGAATATAGAATAAAACACTTTTCTAGGCCTGCTACTTCAAGTACTGCATACTTCGTATGCATAATGCGCAAACAATGCAAAATGCATAGTGTATATACAATATCCAGATTTTCCTTAACTCGCCTTATCTCGCCTTAACTCGCAAGGGTCAGTAGCCAGATTTTTCCTTAACTCGCCCTATCTCGCCTTAACTCGCATAGGCTCGCCTTATCTCGCGGCGAGTTAAGGTCCCAGAGTAGGCCTTACATCTTAAAAATAATTCACCTATTGGTAGTTTTAGCTCTGTTTCAAACGTCGCGCTTCTCATGTGCCGAACGCATTAAAAACAATAGATAATCACATGAAATGCCTCATTAACTATTGTGTCTAATGCGTTCGGCACATGAGAAGCACGACGTTTGAAACAGGCCTTACATGCACTTCGTGTATTAATAAGGAAGATTGTCAGTTGATGATGCATGGTTTTGGATGGCGATTAAATGCGCATTTTTAAATCATCATCAAAATGCGACTTGGCTTCCAAATCCCAAAGTGCCTCGAACAATTGGTCGGCTACGCCTCGCCATTGTTCGTGGCACTTGGATTTAGAAACCACGTCTAAAACACCAACTCGGATTTGAAATATCACTTCATAATACAGGATTTCATCTGATAGTAAATTTTAATAATAGCTATAATTTTCCTCAAGCCCAAATTATTTTAATAGCTAAAATATATAATGAGTAAATATAGTGAGGATTGGGTAGAACTAATTGTTGAAGAGTTTGTATACAGCTATTAAATAAATAAATGAATTATTAGCGATTCCCAGCAGCCTTTCGGCTCGTATTTGACTTTTCCACTTTGCTCGGGGGACAACCTTAATTGAAATAGCTGTATGCATGGAAGACAATTTCAAATCTAAATTTTATACATTTATCAGACCTAAGGGGCGGACCATTAGAAAAGTGATGGGGGGGGGGAACAGAAATAAAAATCGAGCAGGGGAAACAGAAAAAAAATTCGAGCACGACAAAAGTTTAAAACAAAAAATTCGTGCAGAGACTTTTCAATAGGAAAATTACAAGTTGTGTAAAGGTGGCCCCCAAATTAATTTGGAAAATAAAACGTTTTTTGATATAAGTAATGGTGTGAGAAAAAATTTTCTAAACCTAAATGTTGCAGATATTGGTGCAAAAAACGCGGTTTAAGCATGTTTTAAGAAGAATTTGTCAGGGAAAATGTGTTTTGAACCTTTACTAATCTGATGTTGGTCCGGAAAATTGTTTTGACCCTTTTTTATGTCCTGAAAAATTTCTACCCCCCTCGTACAGGTTGGAAATGGACCCCCCAGCACTTTTCTAATGGTCCGTCCCTAACCAGGAGCAGTTGCAAAAAATGCAAGTATTAGCAACTACTCCTGGTTAGGTCTAATAAATGTATAAAATTTACACCCGAAATCTCCATCTATACAAAACCCTTCAACAAAATATATAATGCACATTCTCGTCTATATGTTTGTAAACATTTACTTTACAGGAAATAAAGAAAAATCAGTAGAAAAAGAAACGAAAGTGGTTGTAATAAAACCCATAAAAACGATGGATTTGCATTCCCTTGCAGAAAAGCTTTTTGAAAAGAATCTGAACCAGATAGAAAGAACTGAAAATATTGAACGACTAAGCGTTGGCCAAGCGATGCCAGATATACAGGAGCTAAGAAACAAGTTAAAGGAGCCGAAGAATGAGTTGATCGAAAACAAAGATATAATACAACAGATGATACAAGCAACTGACGAATCACTGGATGATGATAATCAACAGCGCGTTGCCCATCGGGATCCGTGTGATATGATTAGAAACACAGGGCAAAATCCCAGTTGTAATCCTCTTTAACAAAAGGTGTATATGTTGTGATGGGTATCTTTACACTTTTACACCCTATGATTGAATGGGAGTAGTTTTACTTTATTCAACATTATCCGAGATTGTTCATTAAAAAAAGGAAATAATCCGCGCCAAAACGTAGCAACTTCAACTATAAGTGTAAATACTATCACAGGACCATTTATACCTTTATACCTCGTGATTAAATGCGAGTGAATTTTAGTTGGCTTTATTCAGCCATTATCCAAGGTTAATGGGCCATTCATCGGTGGTATAAAGCGCTTAGATTTATCTATACTTTGATCAAAAGGGCATATACTTCGAAACCCGGACATGGACTCGAAAAAAATGCAGACTCGTCTTTGAGAAAATCCGGACTTGAATTTTGAAAACCCGGACTCGAAATAGAAAAAAACGGATTCGAAACAAGGACTTTGCAAAGGTTTAACAATAGTATTTAACATGATAAACGATGGTCTCTTGATGCTTTTAATTATCTCACTATATTTTCTTTTGGTGTTAAAGGAATAATCACTTAGACATACTGGAACCAAATCATCATTTAGGCACTTAATTAAAAACGAAAATGAATCTATGCATACTTCTACGAGTAGCTACGAGAGCAGCAGTGGCGGAAATTCACTTTTTCCGGTTGGAGGGGGCAAAGCCTCCTAAATTTCCGACAAAACTTTCAAATTTCCGACATACCGCCCGTTTGCACTCGAAAAGACTGTTTTTAGCCCTCTTTTAGGTCAAAATTTCCGAAAATTCATTTCCGCCACTGGAGAGCAGCCTACTTACATGTAGCCTACTTGTTGTCGTTTTTTGTGTTTCGTCGTTTGCTACCTCAAAAGACTGGATAATTCCTGGTACTGTAGTATGGTGCGAGAAAGGCTATTTAAATCCTCTCCCATTTACATTACTAAGTCACTCCTTTACTAATTGTTATCTTTTGTGTTGCGCTGTTTGCCAGCCAAAAAATGAGAGAAGCTTGCCAACGGCAAACGTGATCGTGGATAGCTCATCATCGATTACACTGTGCTGATGGGCCCCAAAAATGGCAAAAGTTAAACAGCTGTCCACAGTTGCTGTTGATGAGCATTTCATTAAAATTAAAAGGGCACTACTATCATTTTACTTTTAAAAGTTTGCTTAATCGCCAAAACTGTGAAATGCAGCGTCATGTGCATAAGGGCTAAAAACAATGTAGGTCTAAGATTACTGTTCACTCAAAATTTCCATCTTTACAAAAACCCTTCAACAACTAGTTCTATTGAATGTAATGCCCGAAATCCTAATGTTTACATGCAGTATTTTTTTACCTTTCTGTGTACAAATTTCTCCACTGGATCAATCATCATTTGTAATGTTTCTTGTTGGTCATAATGTTTCTCTTATCGGGTACGGGAAAATTCTTTATACCTGAAAATAAACGTGACGATGTACAGGAATAATAAATAATTTCATATACAGTAGTTATATGTATGTATACATGTAATCTCCATCAGATAATACCTAATTACTGCCAGTAAATGCAGTTAATCTATTTGGCTGATATCATTCATACAGTATATGACACTGAATGGTAATAGTTTCATTGCACATTGCTGGTTTGACTGTTTTAGGCCGTTGGATGAGGGTTGAAAATGTTCAATTCCGTAGCACCCCTCGTGTAACTACATAATTTTTACATGAATGGAAAGATTAGAACTTACCTAGTTAGAATCCACTCCCCCCCAAGCGAAATAGTTGCACAAACTGAAGTACAACCTCTCCAAAGTACATGCTTCTTCGAATTTTGAAATCCGTGAACCGCCATTGTTGTATTGCAAATATGCATGCGCTTGACCACAAAACACTTAATGCGCACGCGCAGATTAGAAAAACTGATCTCAATCCAGGACTGGACAAACCTGGACAAGAGAAAAATTATGAAATGTGCGAAAGCAGGGCTGAAATAAAACAAGATGACATCGAAGTGTTTTAAAAATATATGATATGGTCTGTGCATTTGAATGGAGTTCGCCAAACATTTTGAGGCCAGGAATACTTCCAAGCCAACATTACAATAATAACTTATTTTTAAAAAAATATGATTGATTCTTATACTACAACAATTACATAACGTTCGCAAGCAAATCTGTTTTTCAGGCTTTAAATATTATCACAATCCTAAACATTCAGGACCGTACACAGCGGAGAGACATGGAGGGGGGCCCTTGACGGCCTTGAGGAAACTATATTTACGATTTTTAGAATATCATTAATTATTTTTCGGATATTTGCGACTTTTTTCGGCATATAGACCTTACTGCCCCCTGGTGAAAAAATCCTGCGTACGGCCCTGTAAACATTCTAGGACACGCATACCGTAATTTATCATTTGGGGGGGGGGAGGAGGGGGGGTTCTAATATATACAAAGAATCTGTTTGCACTGGTGATTCTCTTTAAACATTGGCGGAAATTCACTTTTTCCGGTGGGGTGTGGCAAAGCCTACCTCCCCCCCCCCATTTGCACTCAAAAAGACTGTTTTAGCCCTCTTTTAGGTCAAAATTTCCGAAAATTCGTCAATTTTCCGTGAAGCTAGGGGGGAGGGGAAGACACTGTCTTTAAATATGCAACAGCGGGTAAGTAGTAAAAGACCCCCCTCTGGCGGCGGAAGTAATTAGTACGCAAACTTAGGTGTCGAAATTAATTAGTATGCAAAGTCTATGACGTCACTTTGTTCGGCTAACACTCTGGCGGGATTTATAATGAGCTTGCAAAATCTATAACGCCAGGTAGCGCGACCAATTAACGCGGGCAAGTCTGGGCCAACTGTGACAGGCGATCAATTAGCATCACAATGCAGCAACATCACTATAAATACAGCTAGCGTCCTTTCACCTGCATAGTCTGTATTCAACACTCACGATGGAATGTTTGCACGGTAAACCAGTTGCTTGTTCTACAACTGCTCGTGGTACGTTTTGGTTTTGTGGCGAAACACCGAGCTGCGAGTTCTTTTGCCATGACGAAGATTGTTATCTGTTCACGAGAGCAATGGAAGCCTGTCAGAATAGTGGTTCCAATCATCCCATTTGCCCAACACATCAGAGATTGGCCAAATTACGTGTGGTAAAAGATAAATTGAAAGATAATTATGGAAGACCCTTCTTCACGTGTTCTGATCGACATGATCCTTGCAACTTTTGGCAATGGGGAGACATTTACGAAAGCCCTCGACCACGCTACAAGCACGGGATGGTATGCACCGTACGTAAAGTGAAGAAAGAAGGACCCACCCGGAACCGCCTGTTTTACTGTTGCCCTCAGATAGACAGCTGTGGAGTTTTCGAATGGAAAAAGATCGAACCTCGTGTGGCCAAGACTGGCTTTGTCCTATTCAGTGACCCGCTAGAATATCGATACAAGAATGAAGACACGGGAGAAACATTCACTAGTACTAACATTAATGCTAAGGAAGCGTATGAAGAATTCCTTAAGAAATATGAATAACTGTAATAAACGAAATAAATTGTTTTTATCATCATGAATGTGTTATGTATGTTATTGAGATAAATCACTTTTTCTCATTTGGGTTTTAACCTTTATGGTGAGAGGTTCTCTGGTGAGATGAATAATATAAATATAATTTTTGACGAGTTGAGACAAAATGAAATCGATATCGATATGCAGACTTTATCGTTTCATATAAATGCAATTCTCGACCACCATCGAGATCTATATCGTCAAGTGAGTGCTCATAGTCTAAACCTTGACCAAGTTTACAGAGAAATAAATATGACAAACTTTGGTCGCATTTTTGCCTATTTAGCTTTAGTTTATATGCAAAGTGACAGCGGGGAAAGCGTTCGAGAACATGTCGAGGCCTTTCGAACTTTTCATATCCCAAAAGCGAAGAGGAATAATAAACCACCAATTTTAATAACGCTCTCACTTACACTAATAGCTTTATATGTTAGTCTATGATTGCTGCATGGTTCATTTCGCTCTAACCTCTGAGGTGAAAGGATGCCCTGTTGTGGTAAAAGTCTTCCAGAAATTTCCCTCCGAGATATCTTTCGGAAAGTGCGTTGTATTTCCGCTTGCTGTGGAGGGAAAATTGTAATTCAAGCCTCAGACATTGATGGTAGAAAAGTACCTGAGCCAAATCTATTACAATCCAGAAAGTCCCGCAAGCTTTGGTGGCGTAGATTCAATTTACCGTGTCGTAAAAGACGAAGGCAAACATAAGGTATCGCGGAATAAAATACGGCTATGGCTACAAAAGCAAGACATGTATACTTTACATAAACCTGTAAGATATCGTTTCAAAAGGAACCGTGTTATTGTAGGCGCAATTGACGAGCAATGGGAGGCGGATCTTGTGATTATGGACTCGATAAGCAAATACAATAACGGCTTTAAGTACATTTTAACTGTAATCGATGTACTTAGCAAATATGCGTGGGCTGAACCGATAAAAACAAAGACTGGAGAAAATCTTGTCAAAGTCTTTGAGAAAATATTTAAAAAAGGTCGAAAGCCTGAAACGTTTCACAGCGACAAAGGGGCAGAGTTTATGAATCGAAAGTTTCAAGCCTTTTTGAAGAAACATAACATCCGGTTTTTCACGACGCAAAACGAGACCAAGGCATCGATTGTCGAAAGGTTTAATCGTACGCTCAAGACGAAAATGTGGAAATACTTTACAGCGAAGAATACGCTCAAGTACGTGGACATTCTCCAGAAACTGGCAAAATCTTATAATCATTCGAGACATCGTAGTATCGGGATGAGGCCTGTTGATGTAAATGAAGACAACGAGAGCATCGTGTGGCAAAAACTTTATGGAGAAGAGTCAGACAAATCCGTTCGGTTCAAGTTTAACATTGGCGACCAAGTACGAATCAGCAAAGCAAGGCGCACATTTAAGAAAGGATACTTACCTAATTGGACCGAAGAAGTGTTTACGATAACCAAACGTGTTCTTCGACGCCCACCCGTGTACAAGATCGCTGATTT